CTTGAGCCGAACCAAATCCAAACAAGAAAAAAAAAGTTAAAATGGATGACAAAAAGGAAAACATTATTTTTAATAAAATAACAGTATGTGAATAAAAAGTGTAATTAGATTTACTTATAAGTATATAAAATGAGTAAAAAAGTCGTTAAGTACAGAATTAAGGGCCAAAATTTCCGAGGCGAATAAATTAAGAGTAATATAAAGAAACCTATATTGGGAAAACATAGAACCGAAAATACTAAATTACTGACAATTCGGCTTCAAAATGTGTCTAGAAACCCAGAAAATACCAAAATTTAATAATTAATAACTTTTTAGAGAAATTCGTTACCCAATTAGAACTTAAAATATAAAATACCAGATCATTCGTTTGGAAAAGATGTCTAAAATCCAGAAAATGTGTGCAGTTATATGCTAACAGCAAGTTTACATTGCGCCGGATTTATTAAATCCAGTAGATCTAAATTTTATTAAACTAAATTTAGAAATATAAAAAACCTCTAACTGTCAATCAGCTGATGTTTGTTAGTATACATACAAAATTTTTATTTTGCGCCAAAAAATATTTGTTAGCAAATTTAAAATGAAAAGTAAAAATATACCAATTGAAATATTTTTGCAATGTTTTGATGTTTGGAATGATGACTAGATTAACTGTCAAAGTGTGTAATTTCTACTTGTATTCGATGTGCAATGTTGCCAACCATGTGAAATATTATAAGGAAAAATTCGACAGATGTTTTTGTCTCGACCATTTGTCAAATTTTTCCTTATAATATTTCACATGGTTGGCAACATTGCGCATCGATTTCAAGCACTTTGACAGTTAATCGAGACATCAGCTGCGCTAAATGGACTACCTATTTATTGTGTCATGGTTGAGACAAAAACAAAGGTTTTTTAGTTGTGTCTGTTTACTCGATATTTTGTAACAATTGTTAGCAAATGCTACTAAATGTTGTCTGTTTACCCAAACATCCAGTAAAAGGGAGTCATTTGAGAGAGCAAGTTTGACAATGCAACAACAACAAACTTACTGGAGTTTACTGAAAGAATTTCATGCAGTAGGATTTTGCAAACTCAGCCATTTTTGGATCAGCTGTTTAATGACCAAATACACAAATTATTCAAAAAAAATTTTTTTTGAATTTGCAAAGTTCAATTTGAAATTAAATTGTATACTAGTTACAGAAAATAGAGGAAAATTCGTATGTAATGCAAAATTTCATCAAATTAGAAACTAATTCTTTATATTTTAGGCATGTTCCAGAAAGAAGGCAATGCATTGATGCAGGAAGCTTAAATGTTCCCGGGGAACATAGCAAACCAAATTATTATTCATTTTTTTAATATTAAATGCAATACAAATAATTGTGTTCGTACTTTGTTTTTTATTTTATTTTGGCGCAAATAAAAATGTTTTCTTGAATCAGCTGTTTATTTGCTGAATCTTACTAAATGTTGTTTGTTTACTTTTCTCTGTTTTATCGCAAAAGAGAGTAAAAACGGCTTACTCTCTGAACTAGAACTTACTGAGTAAATGTTACTGGAAAAGTAACCATACACACCTATAATTGCATCATGCGTGACACAAACAACGTGTGCAAACAGTTGAAAATATTGGTTCATTGGATAGAGATGTATTTTTTCGTACGAAACCCGAGATGCATCTGATTAGCATCACGATTTCGTTCATGATTTAAAATTAGGTCGAGATAATGTTCATTATCACGACAAAAGTCTATAGTCTAAACAAGAATTTTGCATAGGATTTCAAGCAAATCGAGATATTTGGTGGATTTAACATCGCATGGTAAATCACGCCCTAATATTGCCATAGACATCAATATGAAACAATTCCAAGAATTCCTAATCCGAATATTAAACAAAAGTATTGAAATGGAGGAATATTGTTTCTCTCCAATTTATCTCCCGACTTATAATTTTTGAAAAAAAAAACTGATATAAGTGTCGATAAATAATTTTTGTGTTGCACATTGTAATCATAAATATTCTAAAGTCCATTATTGACAAAATCAATAAATAAAATAATTCAATTCAATATAAATTTCATATAATTTTTATTCGTTTTTTATAATCCAATTCTTCTTTTCACAACAAATCCTACTTTTTTAATAAAAAACAATATTTCTTAAATGAAATTTTAAATACAAATTAGAAAATAAATAAAAAACAATCTACATTCTCTTTACACTATCACTTGCAAAAGTCTTTTTTTATTAAGATAAAACAAAATAAATTAATACAAATTATTTTTTTATAATTTTCTTTTAAATAATTGAAATAAATTAATTTTTTTAATATACCAAAAATTCTGTCAACACATATTTTTTAATAATTTATCTTTTCGTTTTTTTAAATATTATTTGTTTCTGTTTTTTTCATGTAAACTACTACAATAATAAAAATTATTATTATTATAAATAATCACGTTTAATGCGCTAACCACGTATATATGTATGTATGATTTTTTTTGTTTGTTTGTATGTATGCATGTACTTAACTATTATATAAATGTATAAATATAGGGATAGTTTCAATGTAGTTCATGTAATGTTTTTTTTATATTTTTTATTATATTATTTTTTCTTATTAATTATAATATTTGATTTATTTTTTATTTATCGTAAACATATTATTAAGTTTTGTTTTTTTGTTTTTTCTTTTGTTCTCTTGTTTTGTCATCAATAAAAAAACGAACTATTCGTATTCATTCAAAGCTATCAAATGTTAATGGATGTATTCATGGGTGCGTGTGTGTGTTTATTTAATATCAAATCGAGTAGAGGCTATCGATTACAATGAGAACAATTCGTGAAACAAAAAAAAATAATTTTGAAATTTTTAAAAATAAGATAATACATCGGAGTTCCCTTCGGGACACTTTTTCTAAATAACAATTTCCGTAAAGGTCTCCTTTGCAGATCCATTTTCTAGAGGACATAATAATAATATTTTTACAAAATATTGTACATTCGAACTTTTATTTTAGGCAAAAAAATTCCTTGCGGAACATTAGGCATTCGAAATATTAACAAGTGAAAAAGCGTTAAGTTCGGCCGAGTCGAACTTTGTATACTCTCCACCATAGAAATACTGAAAAATTTTTGAAATGAAAATATTGGGAACATACATATAACTACAATTCTACCAATCGATTGTAGTAAACCAAATAGAAATTTCAGGAATTTCAATGGGGGGGGGTTTTCCTAAAATTTCAAAACCCTAAAATATTGGCATAGTAGGGTGTGTATAAAATCCTGAAAATACTCCAATTAAGAGGGCAAATTTATATGAGGCATACTAAAGCGGGACCAATATTGACAACATTGTGTAGGAATTAGCGAATACTTGGTGTTTTCATTATATAAGAGGTTATGCCTAATTAAGGGCCGATATAGCTCAAGTTCCAAGCTAATAATTTAGTTTTGAATCCCAATATTTTATATAGGACCTGGGCCTAAATGCGGGTTGAAACAGTTCCATCTCAAACCTCACGTTCTACTTTTTTTATGTCGATATCCTCCGATAGAAAAAAATGATTACAACATATGGCTAAATCGACTTAATCGTTTTTCAATGCAGGGTGTGAACTGAAAATTTCGTCTACAGAATATCCCCCCTTCTATGGGGGAATACAGCTATATGGGGATAACCCCAACACACGAAACAAATTAGCTAAATATTTTAATATAAAAAGCCTATATGGGGACTACCCCTAAAATGGGGGGAATATTAATTATTTTTAGTAGGGAAGTTTGTTACCATATACGACTACAAAATACCACATTACAGCAAATTCGGTTGAAAAACGCGCTCAAGAACCCCAAAATACCGAAAATTGGGGGTACCCTTATATGGGGGCTATCAGATAAAGTAGACCTATGTTTATAATTTTTAGTTTAGATATTTGGCACCAAATAAGAACCCAATGTACCAAATTCCAGCGAATTCGGTTGAAAAACGCGCTCAAGATCCCCAAAATACCGAAAATTGGGGGTACCTTTATATGGGGGCTATCAGAAAAAATTAACCTATATTTATAATTTTTGATGGGGAGATTTGCTAACCAATAAGAACTCCAAGTACCAAATTTCAGCGAATTCCTTTGAAAAACGAGATCAAGAACCTCAAAATACCGAAAATTGGGGGATACCCTTATATGGAAGCTATGCCTAAACGTAGACCGATATATCTCATCTTCGAACTTGACCTGCCTGCAGACAAAAGACGACTCTATGCAAAATTTCGGCGATCTATCTCTAATGGTTTAGACGTTAGAGTGATTACAACAGATGGGCAGACGGACATCCCGAAATCGTCATAGAATTTTACGCTGATCAAGTATATATATACTTTATAGGGTCGGAAATGATTATTTCGATGCGTTACAAACGGAGAAACAAAACTAATATACCCTCCATAATTAGTGGAGGGTATAAAAAAAATAATTGTCTTTAAATCTTTTTTGTGAAGTATACTTTTAGGCACCATTGACACAAAATCTTAATATTGGAGTATTTTTAGGATTTTGAAACCAAAATAAAATTATAGATTTCATATTTCATTTCCGCATCATCCATGACCTTCCCAAATTCCATATGCCATTGGCCATAGCATACCAGGACATTCGAATACTAATTTTATTTTCAAAATCCTCAAAGATTTTATTCACGAATTTTCTCCCATTGTAATCGTTTACACTCTCTTCTCCGCAGTATTATCATTTGTATGTATGTAACTTTGTTTATATGTTTATATATAATAATGAATTGTTGTTTGTTTTGTTGTAAGTTGTTGTAATTATTTTTTTTCAAGAGTTAATTAAGTCTGTACGAGGGAGTATCTTTAACAAATATAATATGTATGTTTGTAATCATGTGTGTGTGTCTTGTGTTGCGTTATATATGTATGTATGAGTGTATCAAATTGTAATACTCTTTTTGTTGTTGTTGTTCTTGTTCTTGCAGCAATATCCTTCAAACAAATTCTTCTTTCTCCTCCAGCCATGGATGATTTAAACATTCAGCTGCCGATGCCCGAATGACGGGATTATATTCCAACATTGGCAACAGGAAATCGGAGAATTTTTTCGCTTCAATCGGATCCCAATCGTATTTTTCAATTAGAACATTTATCAGACTCCATGGTTTTAGTTTTGTGATATTTCGTAGACTTCCTGCGAGGAGGGGAATGAAAGAAGAAATAGAATTAGTTGTGGAATAGAATAAAAAAAAATTATGACAAGTAACGCCATTAAGTTCGACAGGGCCGAACAATTGTATGCCCTTAACAATGATCAGGTGGGCATTATAAAATATTATATTTGTCGAAGACCTGCCAGGACCTTTTCTATTAGTCAAGAAAATAAAATTTCAAATTACAGACACTCAGGAAAGAAAATTCCGCTAAGATCATCAAAATATCGAACATGAGACAGTATATTTTTATATGGGGTATTGTCAAAACATTGAAATTTCCAGGGACGGAGTTTTTGACCGCAAATATTCCGTAACGCTATATAACATTCAATTCGGGTGGGAAATGCTCCAATGTTCCATGAAAAAATCGTCCGGGTTGATATTTTCATACACTCGACGTGAGGTGGACATTCAAAAATACCTAAAGGTAGGGGATGATAAATACCAAGCAACGTCTCTGATTGGCTTTAACATGCCGAAGCCTAGGCTTATCTTGGTCCCTCTTTCATTAAAATTGTGAACACTGACCTCCCCGAGGTGTCACCTGGGGCAGCTACTTTCATTATCCATTGAAATAGTGAGCTGATATGTGCCGCGAGTTCAGCCATAAGAACTATAAAAAATGGGTTGAGGCGTCGGGTAAGTTGCCCACACTCGGGAAAGCTCTCCTATTATGAAAAAAACAACAAAAAAAACCAAACCCCCAATGTTGACGACCCCCGTAAACCTATAAAGGACCACGATCTGCGAATCTGCACTTAGAATGTGCGCAGGTTGTACAGAACAGGCCCACTCTTCGCTTTGGCGGATGTACTCACGAAGCACAAAGCCATTATTATTGCCTTACAGTAAATGCGATGGAAATGGACTGGCCTAAGTAAATCAGATGATTACGCCCTTCATTATAGCTGCCATGAAACGAGACGTAAATTTGGCTGCGGATAGCTGCCATGAAACGAGACGTAAATTTGGCTGCGGATTTATGGTTAATAGGAGAATAAAAGACCTCGTCTCCAGATTCACTCCAGTAGATGAGCGAATAGCTATAATCCGTATAAAAGCGAAGTCCTTCTACATCAGTCTTATTTGCGCCCTTGCTCCGACGGAAGACAATAATAAACAGACCAAAGACATTTTTTACGAGCACCTAGAAACAGCACATGACCGCTGCCCTGGCCATGACATTAAAATTCTGCTAGTAGATTTTAATGCAAAAATATTTTTGGTCCCACCGTCGGAAAATTCCGCCTCCATGAAGAAACATCCGACAACGGGAAGAGGTTGGTTGACTTGGTGGCAGCAAAAAACATGGTAGGTAGCAGCAGCAGATTCCAGCCTCTCGATATGCACAAGGCCACCTTAATTTCGCCTGATCAAGCAACGAGAAATAAAATTGATCATGTTGTGATAGACGGAAGGCATTCGTCCAGTGTTTTAGACGTTCGACCGACACGAGGAGGGAATATCGATTCGGACCATTACCTTGGGAAAGCCATGGTTCGCACTCGTCTTAATATAGCAGCAAAGGTGTAATCTAATGTAGCACGGAAACTCGACGTCGAAAATCTGAAAAACAACAGATAGCTGAAACATACTCCGCTCAACTTACCCACTTGCTTGACAATGGAGCGCAATGGCAAAGAATTGCCCACTCCCTACAAACTGCAGCAAAAGCAAAACTTGGGTAAAAAAAACCACCATCAAGAAACCCGTGGTACGATTAGGAATGTCGTAATGCTACTGATGAGAAAATCGCAGCGTATGGAGCAACACTGCAGACAGTAGTAACACGTAATTCGATGGAGAATTATCGAGAGAAAAGGAGAGAGGAGAAACGTCTTTTCAGAAAAAGGAGAAAGAATAAGAAAATCGTGAGCGTAAGCAAATCGAGATGTAGAGAAGTCAGAAAGAAGTGCGGAAATTTTACCAACGAGTAAGACACCAAACCGACGGGTTCGGTGCGGGCACATCCTCTTGTAGAGATGAAAATGAAACCTGGTGACAGATACAGATAGCGTGCTGAAGATCTGAAAGGAGCATTTTGAAAAGCTTCTCGTATCGAATAGTGGCGGTGAAGAAGATACCCCAGAACCAATAAGAAATTATGGTATAGAATGTATACCACATAGCCAAGATGAGGTCAGAGTAGCAATTAATCTTCTGAAAAACAATAAAGCAGCAGGTGCAGCCGAACTATTCAAGACTGGTGGTCAAATATTGGTAAGGAGCATGCACCAGCTGATTAGTACAATTTGGCTAGAGGAATGCATGCCCAATGATTGGAATCTCGGTATCTTGTGTCCCGTGCACAAGACGATATGCGCCAACTATAGAGGAATAAGTCCCATCAAATAAAATGTGCTATCCAGCATACTGTGTGAACTACTGAAGTCAATGGTCAATGACATTATTGGACCATACCAACGCGGCTTCAGACCTGGCAGATCCACCATTGACGAGATTTTCACTCTGCGCCAAATCGACACATTCCACCTATTCGTCGACTATAAAGCCGCATTCGACAGCCCTATCCGTTCAGAGATGTTTAAAGCCATATCTGCGTTTGGCATTCCTGCAAAATTATACGGCTATGCTGACCTTGCATAAGGTCAGCAGTTGAAGTCGGACAGGACCTCTTGGAGTCCTTCAATACCGAACGAGGGTTTAGACAATTTTAACATCCTGCTAGAAAGGTCATACGAGAGGCAAATGTGAATAGAAATGTCACTCTGTACACCAAACAGCATATGTTGCTCGTCTACGCCGACGACATCGACATAATGGGTCGAACATTTCGAGCGGTAACAGCCACCTTTGAACGAAGAAAGTGCCAAAGTGAGTTTGGCAGTAAATGGCGAAAAGACCAAGCTGATGGTATCATTGCGCAAGACGTCCAGTAGACTCGGACCAACTGTGGAATTACAGCTTCGAGGTAGTGAACGATTTTTAATACCTCGGTGCCGCCATAAACAAAACTATTAACAGCAGCCTTGAAATTCGGAGAAGGATAGTGTTGGCCAACAGATGCTATTATGGTCTGAGTAAGCTCACACTCTGATATTACCCGTGCTGTTAATTGGATCTGAAGCCGATCACTCGTACGTTCGTATTGTTGATCAGCGATTGTATGGCATTCGTATAGGATTTACGAATTGGATCTGAAGTATTGGTACTTGCGCAAACAGATGAGACAGCTTTTGGAGTATTTGAGAGAAAAATTATCCGAAAGATCTATGGACCGATCTGCGTCGAGTGAACCATGAGTTGTTCCAGCTATTCACGGACATCGGTTATGTTAGACGTATCGAGCTGCAGCGACTACGTTGGCCCATTCTCATGTTGTGTGAATGGATGAAGATGCCCCAGCTCTAAAGCAGTGGTGCTCATAATCATGCACACGTAAAGGGCTGAACAACACTGCTCTAAAGGCATATAAAAGCGAACCAGCTGATGGCTCACGCAGAAGGGGAGGGTCACGAATTAGATGAAAAAATCAAGTAGAAGACAACATTGCGAACATAGTCTTTCAAATTGGAAAAATGCGCAACAGACCGACGTGCCTGGAAATCTTTTTTAAGCTCGGCTTATGGAACGAAAGTTCTCTCACAAGCCAGCTAGGTAAAGTAAGTAAATACCTTGATGTTAGTTTCTTCTGTATACGAGAGAGAATTTAGTTAAGCAAGAATCTTTTTTATTTCCTCTTTGGATTTTTCCTTAAGAACTACTTAAACTAATTTTACTTAGCCGAATCTCGAACCCACAATACTTTTATCCTTAAATTATTTGTTCTAATATGTAGTAGAATGTGAGCAGAGGAGAATTTTCACATCATGTCCGGCATAAAATATTAACAACTATCTTAAGGGGAAAACACATAGGGGGACTTCAGCTTTGGCTTGCTAAGTTGACTTTTATATTGTAAAAGAATAAAAAAGAACGGCGCCCAACATCAAGTTTTACTCTAATATTCCTTTAAAAATGTTCATTTCATACATATACAACTTAACAAGCCAGGCCTGAATCCTCGTATGAGTTTCCCCCTTTGGGGTTGCTGACGACTGGCAAAGTCCTGACAAACTCAATTTCTATTCAAAGTATTATGAACAATTCCCTTCTAGAGTCCGAATTATATTACGATATGTCGGTGGTTTGTCTTTTTTTTCTTCTTCCAACTTACCATAACTTGTAAAATATTTAACACCATGTTTGCCGCGAAATATTACCGACGGTGGTATTGTGCCCAACAGCTCTACAATATGGGCCAGATGGTCTTCATCTCTGGAATATGTTTCCCCAGCATGCGGATCGAAGAGATAATCTCCTGTGGCCAATTCAAATGCCAAACATGCAGTACTCCAGATATCGGCCGTGTAATTATAGGGGGCACCCAAAAGGACTTCAATTGAACGATATTGTCGTGTCTGGATGTCTTCGGTGAAATGATGATACTACAACAAAGTAAAATATCGATAAATAAAAATCATACAATAAAAATCACAAAGTGTGAACCTTACCTCATAGCATGCATTGCCCAAATCGGCAATTTTCACTCGCACATTCGTATTGTTGATCAGCGATTGTATGGCATTCGTATAGGATTGTGTCTGAGAAATTGTATTTGGATTTGTTATATTGATATTATTTAATTGATTATTTAGTTGTTGTTGTTGTTCTTGTTTATCAGAACCACTTGTTGTTGTTGTGGTGGTGGTAATAGTAGTTGTAGTGGTGATGGTGGTTGTGGTGGTTTCAGTGGGCGGCTGTGAGATTTTTTTGATAAAAAATTTTACACATACGAAAAAAATTAAAGGAGAACAAGAAAATGAACATAATTTGGGAAAACAAGATAAAGAAGAAAAATGCAAAAGAATAAAAGAAGAATATAAACAAATTTCGTTTTTTTGGTGCAAAAGACATTCAGATGATAATTGTTGTTATTACGATTTTAGTTTATATGCTAGAATGAAGATGGCGTTGTAATCGGTTGTGCCGATTACTTGTGTGAAATAGCTCTCGATCAAGTTTAAGAATGACCCAGTTCATTCAGGAACTCGAGTGGTTCAAGGAATCATGACTGCCTCATCGAAATTTACCATGGTTGACCTGTGATCCTACACTTAACCAATACCTACATATGGATTCTCAAACTTTAGAAAATACCCAAAAACAAATTCTTCGGCTGCTGATGGTGTGCTGATGTGCCTTGACACCCTCAGTCTCTAACGTCACAAGTGCTACAAGCCAATATATGAACCCGGGCAGGGACTCCTCTTTAAAATTCTAAATCGTATATTCAAGAATATCGCAAAGAGCGTCAACTGCTGAAGGTTACGACCTTGTGTCGTCTTTGGCGAAATGATAATTTAATCCGACAATTCGAGTCCCTCTTTAGACTCATTGAGTAATACGGCGGTTTCCCTCTGAGTCAGAAGAGCATCCCAGCCTACATAAGGAATGTACCCCAACGACAGACGAATATAATGATGCTAATGTAACCGTCTTTAATACCCATGTAAATGTGGGCTCCTCCAAAGCGGAAAATGTTAGTAGTACGTCGGCTTCAGCCGATAAACCGTTACTTCCGAGGCAGACGGCAATAAAGTAGGGATAAGTAAATCGACTTTCGATTAATCGACATTTTGTATTCACAAGTCTAGAGGTGAGTACACACTATAAGATTGGACTGTCAGGTCTTTTATCGATTACTGAATGTCCAACAAACATAAATATTTTCGTGGTTGCCTGATGAATATCGAACATGAGAGGCTTCACTATTAAACAAGCAAAAATTGGACAAGAGTGTTTGTCAAAAAGCTTTAAAGTCGAAGTCTATTTTTGGGGAAATCGCGAAGTCGACTTTCGAGTTTCTTCATATATACTTGGTTTATTATCACAAAGCCCATTTTGTCAAAAAATAGTTGATTTTGCATTATTTGCTAAAAGTCGAAAGTCGATTTAGAACAGTATGCAAAAATGGACAAGTCGACTTGGCGCCCGACTAAGTGTCCCTACTATAAAGGGGAATGACGCCAATAGTACAAAAACACTTTGAAATCCTCGTTGTCGGCCCTGCATCCAGAAGTGGCAAATGCAAGGAAGCAATGAATAAGAAGACGTATCGGAGGGCAATTTGCTACTGTAACGATAAGTAGATAAAGACCTCAACAGAAATTGACTGGGAAGAAAATATCGTTGACAAAAAAAAAAAAAAAAAAAAAAAACACTTAGCCTTCAGTCTCAACATGATCAGCAAGAAGAATTTCACCTGGATTAAGAAGCACTTAAAGGTCATGAGGATGTACGAATGGGACTATTTTCCGCAGGGAACTACCTTTTGCAGGACCTATACCAAGGTGGGTAAATGAAGCCCACTATATAGCATCAAAACACTAGACTGAAGCCAGGAGTTGTGTCACCGATGACTCATGTGGAAACTGTTCCGACCAAAAAACAATTCTCCTTAACGTTTGTGGTAATGAACACGGAGAAACAGCAACTGGCTGAGAAGAAACCTTTGTTGACAAAAACCACTTAGCCTTTGGTGTCGCATATTCCGATAATAACCAAGAGGGATAGTGGAAAGGCTATCATTGAGAACACGAAAGTCGGACCTATTGGTAATTGTTCCAAATGCAAGAAAGTGATGGATATGGGAAGGCAATTGGCTTCTGTCAATATTGTCCTCTAAAGGTTGGAGGAAGTACGAAAGGCACACAGCGGCTGCATCGGTGACTCAAGTGAAAACTGATCCGACCAATATCTTATCATACTGAACGATTGTGGCAATGAAGAGGATGAGATCGACAGAGATACAGCAACTGGCTGAGAAGAAACCTTTGATGACAAAAACACATAGAATGTTCCGGTAGTAGTCTAGAAGGATAGTGGAAAGGCTATCATTGAGAAAGTCGGCCCTATTGATAATTGTTCACTGGGTTTGCAAACAAGCCTTTTTTTTGAAAGAACCGCTAAACCTTCGGTCTCAGTAAAGGAAACCCACAGTATAGCATTAAAGCCTGGGGCAAACACGATACTGACGACAGGAGTTGTGTAAGCGGAAGCAACGGTGACTCAAGTGGAACCACTTCCGACCAAAATCCAATCCTACTAGACGTTTGTGGCAATGGCGACGCTATCGCATGTTCCGGTAGTAAGCAATAGGGATGGTAGAAAGGCTGCAAGAAAGTTTCGGTAGTGGAAAGGAGTTAAAAAAACACCGTTGCATCGAATTTCCATCACAGAACGATGTTCAACTGTTAACGGCTTATGAATTAATAAAATTACGGGGTTATGGATTGTCAGTTTTTTCATTTTAGTATTGACCACTAGTGAAACCGCCTTCGTTTGAGTTAGGTTATGGGATGTAATATCGAGCGCTTACTGGTGATATAGACAGAAAACTTTCGGCGGGTTTTATAAAGATAGAAGACACCCTGCAGATAAAGGTCATTAAAGAGATTTTCTATATACAAGAACCTTCAACCTTCTATTTTAAAAACATAAACCCCTTCGTAAGGCATTTCTATTTCCGAGCTTTGATGAAGAGCCATATTCTTTAGAACTCCTGTAATATTCCAATATAGTTATTTTTGTTATAAACATAGGGTTTTGATATGTATATTCAATTTTTAAATAATTTTAATTTCGTTATATGGTATTTGTATTTGATGTGTTCAAATGTACATGAAAAGTCTTTTTGCATAAATAAAATGTTTACGAGTTTGTGTCAGTGTGTTAGTTAAAATGATTGACTATTAAATTATAGCATAAACAATATAAACTAAGTAAATAAAAAAAAATGAACAACATAAAATTAAATAAAATTACCAATTAACAACAATAACAATTGCATATAAAATTCTACATTATTGTTAGGTGGGAGTGAGTGGGCGGGTGAGTTGGCATTATTAAGTTTAATTAAAATTTGTATTCTAATGGTATATACATTAAGTTGATGTTAGTTTAATTACATGATTTGCATGGTACTAAGGCTGTATTTTTAATGAATGATTTGTGAATGTAAAATAATTAGTAATAATGTCTTAATGAATGGATACTGTTTTTATGGATATAAAACACTAATTCTAAGTGTTTTCCATATATACTTATAATTTTTACTCGAAAAGCAGTGACACAAATGCTAGAGTTGAGTCAGTATACAATTGTATATTTAATTATAATCATAAGAGATAAAAATTCAAGGAGGCGTTATTTCTAGACGACGATAGATGGCATGGATAGCCTAATGACATGTGTGCGGATATAAAAGCGTTCACCAAAGCCTATGAGTTGCGGGTTTGAATCCCAGTGAAATAATAAAAATGGCAGGTGATTGCGCCACCCAGAGGGAAATGGCAATACTAACTAAGCAAGGGTCCCAACCACTGTACAAAATTGAAGGAGACGGGGAACAGCTGGATTAAATCAATGAGTTACGAAACTAACACGAGGTGTAATCGAGTAAGACGGAGAGGTTTATGAACAGAAGATCAGGAAATATATTAAATCGGAAAATAAAGGTTACATACAGATCATAGGATCGCTTCTTGTATATACCCAAAGAGGTGTAGGGTATTGTCGGCCCCTTCTACTAGGAAAATGGCAACACTAACTAAGCAAAGGCCCCAACCACTGTAGAAAATTAAAGAATGCGTTGTTTCTAGACAACGATACCTAGGACAGGCTACAGCTGATAAACTATATACTTAAATGGATTAAAATCAATAATTAACGAAACTAACACGAAGTCCAACCGAATAAGACGGAGATGTTTGTGGACAGTAGAGAATAAAAAAAAACCTGAGTAAAGGCGATGTCGCTATTATCCACCACAAAATTCTTGAAAATTGAAACACAGCACTGATTCAGATTTCTGCAAAGTATATTTCAATTAGTATTGAAATGAAATCAAGGAAACCAAGTGCAATAACCAATGTACACGACTTGATTGGCTTCGGTTTAGAGGCTCTAGAACTGTTACCAGATAAATATTATCAGAGCCTTTATTCTGCAGACATAAGAGGCAGATGTTATGGTATCATATTCTCAGGAGAACGATCTAGAAAGAGAGAAGAGTTCTTCTCAAAACTATAGGTTTTATAATCGAGATTATGACAGGATCAACATTCAAAAAATCCCTAGTTATATTCGTGATAATGAGTTGTAAAGTGCAAGTAACGAATTTAGATTTAAGAGAACCACCTCCATTTCTAGATTTGAAAATATGGAGATTTTCAAACTAGGAATACTTAGTTGAGCCCAAAAGTCGACTTTTCGATTTTTGCATTGACTAAAAAGTCGACTTTGTCTAACCTGTTCAAAATCGATTTTCGACTTTTAGCGACCTATCGATTAGACGAAAGTCGATTTACTTATCCCTGTTTCAAATGGCTGGCAAATGAATGTGTATTTGAAGACTTAAAGGATAAGAAATTTAATTTACATAAGAGGTCCTCTTAAAGGTCGAGAAAATTCTGTCGGCTTGGTGGAAAATTCACAAAGAAGAAAATTAAAAAAAAGAAAAATAAAATGTTGAGTCAGAAGGAGACTGCGGCAAGGAGGCGGTGACGGCGAGTAAATATGGCGAGAGGACTCCAGTTCTGAGTACAGAAGCTACAGAATAAAAGTATGAGTCTATGGGGTCTTATTCCAGAGAAGACGAATCTCACAAAGGCTCGGCACCGACAACAACTCTACTAGCAAATATTGACATGTTCGTAGAGTTTATAGCATGGCACAATAAAGAGGTAATCCATTTAGAGTAGCTGATGTCTCGATTAACTGTCAAAATTGGTAATTTCTACTTGAATTCGACGTGCAATGTTGCCAACCTTGTAAAATATTATAAGGAAAAATTTGACATAAGGTCGAGACAAAAACAAAGGTTTTTGTTTTTTAATACATCGCCTTTTTAATGCATCGTGAGTTTATAGATAATGGAAAACCGAGTAAGGAGCGCACCCTATAAAATGAAAGACGTGGTTCGTGATCGGTGATTGGAAAAGAAATCCAAAATGGCGGGTGGGTTAAGGCAAGCCCAGGCAGCAGGAAAGGATGAATAAACTAAAGACAAATGTAGCAAATTTGAAACAAAAAGTTCACGAACTTAAAAGAGAATTGGTGGCGACTGCAGAGAAAGCTCAGGCAGCAGGAAAATCATCATGGGAAAAAGAAAATAGAAACTTTGGGAAAGGGTGGCTTCATCGGAGGATGAACATCAAGCAGCAGAGGCCGAACATGACGATTTGACAAAGCAAGTGGTCACCAATACCGCAGACATTATGACAGCGAATACGCCGCGAAATCTAGTGAGGTGGAAATTGAGAAGCTGTCTGAAGAATTGACACTTTCGGGGAAGGCACATCAAGCAGCAGAGACGAACGCGATGAGTTGGCCAGGCCAGTGGTCACCAATGGTAGTAACGAGCCCAAATATCCCATATTTCTAATTCACAGAAATTAAAACCATTCGAGTTGGAGGTTGAAAAGTACAATGGTGTGGTTGATGCGAAGAAACCTGTAATGGAACAGGGTTCGGCTGGGAAGTAGAAGCCGGTGAACATGATGCATGTTGATAAGGGAATACTTGCTGAGAAGTATGAGCCGCCAGTGGGTGTTTTTATGTCGCTAGGAAGTTGAAACGGGCGGACAATGGTGATGACCCGAGAACAAACTATGATTGGTCAGTAAGCCGAAGCCGGTAATTAAGGAGATTCCGGCCAGGAAGATAGTGGCGGTAATGGAAAGCGTTGCCGTGGAAATGCGCCACGTATAATAACAAAGCAGAAAGACTGAGACCAAAAATGACGAACAATCGAGAGCAGATTATGGTGTCAATAGGAAAATGAGGTCGGCGGACAATGGTGGTCAACGAGATTGGCCCGGTAAGCCGAAGTCGTAAATTAAGGAGTTTCCGGATAGACATATTGAGCCGAAGAGCAAATTGGAAGTCTTCAATCGGCATTGAAGGAGGAGCGACGAAAGCATAGTTCTGTGAAGGTTGTGGGTGAAATGCTATAAAGAAGAATTGGATAATAAAAGCCTTGACGTGGTGGAGTAAGTGACACTAATGGTGACTTTGAAGAAAGTTTCCAGTCGTTGCAGGCAACGGATATAGAAGCTAGTGCATTCACTCCACGGAGAATATCCGCGTCTTTCATATTCCCTGTTTATCACCCCCTTAAAAAGGCGATAAGAAAAAGCTGATGGTATCAACATCCAATAGACACGGACGAATTGTGGAACTTGAAAACTACAGCTTCGAGGTATTCACAGATTTTATATACCTTTGTACCGCCATCAGTTTTAAAATTCGGAGAAAAATATTGTTCGCCAACAGATGCTACTACGGTCTGAGTAAGCAATTCAAAAACAAGGCCAACTCTTACCCGTACTGTTGTATGGATCTGAACCATGGGTACTAGCGCAAGCAAATGAGGCAGCTCTTGGAGTGATTGAGAGAAAAATTTGTGGGCATAGAATAGCAAATCCTCTTCTTCGAAATGATTTTCAACCGAATTTTACTTGCTTCTTTTCTCATAGTGTAAAGTCCACTCAACCTCGTCGAACTTAACGATATTTTTATTTGTTATTAACATGATGATGACGTCCACAAAGTGTTCCTATTTAAATACATCACAGTGTAACCTACACTCACACTCACACACACATACACAACTATTCACTGTGAGTCCTTTTTGAGCTCTTATTGTTTTGTTCTAAAAATGAATAATGATTGTTGATGTATTTTCTTCTTCTTCTTTCTATATTTTTTTTGTTTGACGAGACCAGAGAGTGATGTGTGTATGGATGTATTTTTTTTTTCTATGTTATGGTCGTGATTGAGAATATACAAAAAAGCAACAACAACGATGACGACAAAGAAACAAGAGTATAACAGCAGAGATAATCATGGAAAATGGCTATGATAATGGGTTGTTGGTGGTGATGATAATGGCGGCAAGAAAAAACAAAAAGAGCTGGCCGTTGATGAGGGTAGGGTTGTGGGATGACAGTGACAAACAAATATGTGAAGTGGTCAGTTACTGGGTCACATTAACAGGTCTTTGGACCCAACACCACCATACGATAGAGATATTCCAAAGAGATGATGAGTTATGGGGGATTGGGGATTGTTGTTAACGACTGTTGTTGATGAAATGGCTGCTTGTGTGAGAGAGCGTAATGTTGTTGATGATGATGTGAAGAGAGCTTCGGGGGAGAACGACAGGGGAAGCGGAGGGTTATGGCTTTAGAATGTAGTGCAACATTTTTTGGTTCAGTTCTGTTTTTTGCCTTTACCTTTAATATCGATGATGATGTTGGTGATACATTCATTGCTGGTACTGCCGTATTGGCAGTTGTAGTAGTTGTTGCTGAGGATTGTTGTTGGGTTATTGTGGCTGTTGTTGTTGTAGCAGATTCTATTGTGCTTGTGCTTAGGTTAGTTGGTGGTTTATTGGCCATTTGTTCACTTATATTAATTGGGGGGATGGTGGTGGTGGTGTTTGGTAGTGGTGGGTTGTTTGTTACTACCGATTTGTGCTCATCATTGGGACTCGTCGGCATGGGGGAGGAGTTTTCAGTGTTTTTCATATTGTCCATAATGGTACTTGATTTCATTAACATGTCATCTTCAGGCGTATTTTCCATTACAATTCCCGAGACATCATCAACAATGGAGGACGACAATTCTACTTCATCGTTCTTTTGGGAGGGTTTTCGAATTCAGATTTTGTTTTGTGCGTTATAGGTGAATTGTGGGTGAGAGAGGTCAGTTGAGGTGGGGAGTTGTTATATATATATATATATATATTTTTTTTTATATAAAATTTACAGTTTTAATTTTTGTATTTTTTGGTTTTTTTGTATACAAAAATATCAGAGTGTAGGGTGCAATATTACAGAAAATATTTATATAGAAAAAAAATATTTAAAAAAAGATAAATGAAAATAAAAATAAAATAAAAAATTAACAAAAAAAAGTTAAAAAAAAAACTCATTACAAAACTGACAACAAACAAGCTTGTGTTGGTATAATATTTTTTATATATTTTTTACAAGTTTTTTTGAATGTTTGAGAGTAACAAAAAAAATTGGGGGAATTTTTGTTATCATTTTCGGTGTGGAAATTTTTTTGGTAATAATTTTTTTGCCGTGTGTTCAAACAAATTTCATTCCCCTCCATTTTTTCCTGCATATTCTCATTTTCAACAACTTACTTGATAAGTAATTTTTCTAACCTCAAATTTTTATAATTTCTCTTTCTCATTCAACTTACCTTGGCAGTGATTTTCTTTTCAGCTCTAAAACGATTATTTATATTTCCAGTGGTCGATGAATTACTGGCATTACTGGCGCCTCCGCCACAGCCATTACCGATACCACCGCCAGTACCTCCACCTCCTCCTCCAGTACTGCTACCGCCATCTATACTATCACCCATTAGACTGGAGTATTTTGAAGCAATGGAGGAGGTATCCTCTTTGTCGCCACTCAAATTATTACCCGCCACACCCAACGGCGGTGGCAGCGGTGTCGATGAGGCAGAATTATTAGCTGTATTTGTATTGGTTAGATTGGCTGCATTCATTTCGATGTTCTGTAATGGCCATTTGGCCCGCGTTTTCGTTTGTTTTTCTATTGAACTTACTGGAAGCAAAAAAAAAAAAATAAATAAGAAAATTGGAAAATTAATAATTTTTTATAATTATTTTTAAAACAAGTTCGACGGGTCCTAACCTGTAAAAAAACTCATTAAGTTCTGCAGGGCCGAACTTTTTATAACAAACAACACATAATACTCGCCTACGCCGATGACATCGATATAATGGGTCGAATATTGCGAGCGGTAACAGCCACCTTTGCATAAATAGATAAGGAATTCGTCAAAGTGGGTCTGGCAGTAAACGGCGAGCAGACCAAGCTGATAGCATCAACGCACAACTCACACTTTATAAGACATTAGCGTCTTGTTATATGGATCTGAAGCATGGGTACTTGCGCAAGCAGATGAGGCAGCCCTTGGAGTGTTTGAAAGATAAATTCTCCGAAAGATCTACGGGCCGATCTGCGTCGACGGTGAATATCGGCGTCGAATGAACCACGAGCTTTACAATATGCGTACATCGATATAGTCAGTGGTATTGAGCTGCAGCGTGGCCTTCCCGTAGAAGGGGAAGGCCACGAATTAGATGGAAAGATCAAGTAGAAAGCAACATCTTGGAACGTTGTCATTCAAATTGGAGGAGATGTGCACAAGACTGACGCGATTGGAAATCTTTTTTAATATCGTCTTATGGAACAACCGTTCTGCCACAAGCCAGCTAAGTAAGTAAGTAAATTTATCTGCTAAATACCGAAAATTAAACGGAACCTTTTTATGCTATAAGAACAATGAACTTATTCTGAAAATTTAATGGATTCACCAGGAATTTGGAATGTCAAATTACAGACACTATAGCGAGACCTGTATACGGGTTAATATTAAGGCATTTATAGTACGTTTACATTTAACCAGATTTCGTTAACCCAGTGGGTTTCAATTGTCATTTCCTTTGCATATATGCCAAATAAATCCTCATAAAGTAGGTTAACCCGGTAAAAAAGTTATAATGTACAAGGAGTTTTATGGGAGGACACTGTGGACCTATATATGGAAATATTTTTAATATGCCAATACTTTTAAAAATTTTAAATCATGAATCTACATCGAAAATGTTCTGAAAAGATATTGTTCGCCCTCCAAGAACCCAGAATACCAAATTACAGAAACTATGGTAGAAAAGTGTGCCTAATCCTTCAAAACTCAGAAATTTGGGCGGGACATATATGTGGACATGGACTTATAATAAATAATTGTTTCAAATGTACGTACGAACTTTAGCAAGGTGAGGAATCTACCGCTTCGAACGCTAGGCACCGGAATATTGCCCAGGCTCGGAATGGGCAATATTATTTCGTGATTGTTGCACACTTTTGTCCTATTTGAGTGGGACAAAAACAAAACACTGACATATTTTCCGAATCAGGGTTACCGTTGTGCGACTAAAGTTGCAATTTGCAACCTTTTTCATGTCCTGTAACTCTGTTTGCAACTTTATAAACCCATCATATCAACGTGCTCAAGCTCCTCAAAATACCGAATATTCGTGGGAGCTACCATTATATGAGTCCTTCCCTAAAAACATGGACAATATGAATAAATATTGGTAGTAAGATTTGCTTCCCAATCAGAAGCCATCAAATTACAGAAATATTAAGCCTTAAAAGTTCATTCATGTTTACCTGGGCGTATGAGTATGCTGTTCAATATTAAATCGTATGTATACGCTATGAGGTCCATGCGAGCGCATCTTTTTAAGTAATAATATTTTAAAGGACCTTCAAAATATGGCCATTTTAAATAAATATAATTTGAAGGATGTGAAAGGATTTTTTAAACAATATTTATCAAGGATCATCAGGGGTGGGCTTTTTTATACCCTTGACAACACTGTGTATGTTAAATTGTAAACAGGGCAGATCGCATTTATGATCCGAATAAGATGAAATTTGGAACAGCCTACTTTTTTTTGGGCCAAGGACGAACCCTATTGAAATTTGAAGAAATCGGTTCAGATTTAGATATAGCTGTCATATATATATATATATATATTCCTCCGATTTTTTTCGGTTCAGATTTAGATATATATACATATATATATATATATATATTTGTCAGTGTACCGAATTAAGTACAGATTTCGATATAGACGTCCGATTAAGACAGACATCAGATTCAGATATAACTCCCATATATATTTTCGTCCGACTTCGCTCCCTAAATGGTGCACCAAAGAGAATATGTTTGTTTGATTTATACGAAATTTTGCATAGCGAATTGAATTGAGTCTGGCATTATTTGTGGTACTTTTCGATGAAATCGTTCGATGAAAGCATTTTGAATTACATACAAATTAAAGTAGATATTGCTCCGTGTTAAGCTTTCTACTAATCGGGCCAGATGTATATATAGCTCTCAAATATAATTTTAACCGATTCTATACAAATGGTACACCAAAGATCCTAAGAGCCCAATTAACATGCAAATTTGCATCGATTTCAGAATGACATGCATATGGGATAATATAAATTGGTTCGTCTGATTCCATGTCAGTAGTCCTCCAAAGAAGCTATGCCTGTTCTATCGAAAGGAAATTCTACGTATGAGCATCATATAGTCAGTCCCGTCCGACTTTTGAAATTTCCTTACTGATTTCTCTTTTCATCAGTCGTTTTTAATGATGAATTCTCAGTTAAGATCTCACACCCTCAGCACCCAAGTAGCTGCAAATATATTTCCCAAGAACAACCAGGATTTTATATGTCCAATAGGAGTCGTGGATTTTTTCAGGAACATTTTTCAAGAATCAAGCTAAGGCATGGATTTTAAAAGAATATTTTTTAAGGACCAACATAAGGCTTGGTTTCTTAATGAAATATATGTTTAAAGAAGAACATAAGTCGTGGATGTTGGCATATGAATTCTACTTTAATTAAAAAAAATACATTGGGCGCCATTTATATGTTAGTCTGTTACAGAAACGGGACTATTCAAATCAAAAACAAGTATATTGCCATTGGACGCCAATTCATTGATGTATGGATGTTTTTAAGAGCCATCAGAGTGCGGCCCTTTAATTATTCAAAACAAGGCGTGGATTTTTAAAGAATTTTTTACAAGGACTAACACTACGTTGAGGCCATTTGTATGTTGATCTGGCACATTTATTTTGAAAATATGGTAAAATTTATGGATTTGAATTTTACTAATTTACTACTACTATTACTTACTATACGAATCGGGAAAATCGACACCCTTTATCCGCAAACTGGTTATTTCATCATCGATTTGTTGATTCATAGCTGCCGCATTATCGATGACCAGTAGAATATTTTCCGGCTTTATGTCCGTATGTATGATATTACATTTACTGTGCAAATAGTCCAAACCCTCCAGCACCTGCTTGATAATATTACGCACCTGGGCTAAAGCCAAACCCTGATAATTGTTCTTAACAATCAATTTATAAAGGCTACAACCCAATGCCTCGAATACCAAACATGTGTGAACGCCATTAACACCGCGCACCGTAAAATGATTGAGCAAACGTACGATACGTTCACGTTTCACATCCAAGGGATCAGCATCACGTATAGCCTCCAAGAGGCGTATCTCATCAGCTGCAGTCTCAATATAGTGGGGAGCACTTTTCACCACTTTCAGGGCGACGTATTTTTCTTCTCTGTAATAAGATAAGAGGGTGGGGGAAATTATTAGGAGAATTAATTGTTTTTTTTTTATAATTTTCTACACTTACTTGAGATCTCGACATAGCCACACCGTGGAAAAGTGTCCCCAGCCCAGTTTGCGTACAACTCGAAACCGATTATCAAATATATCACCGATAACCACCGGATGATAGCCACCACGACAATATTGGGCAGCATCTTCCTGCTCCTCATCCGATCCATATAGACTGCTGTCGGGTGAATCGGGAAATATTTCATCGGTGGTGCTTAAAGTACCACGTGGTTCAGATCTGTAAAGGAATTTAAATAGGAACTCTCGTTATTTAAAAATATTAAATAAGAATATAATAGGAATTTAAAAAGAAATAAAAAGGAAAATAAAAAAACAAATTAAAAATAAATTCTATGAAAAACTTAAAAGGAATTTAATATATATAGGCGTCTATTAAAAAAATGTTAAAGAATATTTTTTCAAGTAGCCAACAAGACGCGGATTTTTTAAATAATTCTTTTTCAAATAACCACAAGGACCAACGAAATGACGTGGATTTTTTAAAGAAAATCTGTCAATGACCAACGAAGAGAACCCTTCTTCAATTTAAAAAGAAATATGTTGGGCGCCATTTAAATGTTTTTTATATGGTTGTTCAAACCTTAAAAATATGTTAGCCTTTGGGCGCCATTTAAGTGATTTTCTGTGAGGCTATTCAAACCTCAAAAACATTTGTCATGGGGCGCCATTTAAATAAATTTCAGCAGAACTCCAAAGGCGTGGATTTTTTAGAGAAAAATTCTCAAGGATCAAAGGCGTGGATTTTTTAAAGAACATTTTTCAAGGACCAACAAAAAGGCGTGGATTTTTTAAAGAAAATTTGTCAAAGACCAAAGGCAAGGCGTAGATTTTAAAAAAAAAAATTGTCAAAGACCAAAGGCAAGGCGTCAATTTTTTAAAGAAAATTTGTCAAGGACCAACAAAAAGGCGTGGATTTTTTAAAGAACATTTTTCAAGGACCAACAAAAAGGTGTGGATTTTTTAAAGAAAATTTGTCAAAGACCAAAGGCAAGGCGTGGATTTTTTAAAGAAAATTTGTCAAGGACCAAAGGTAAGGCGTAGATTTTTTAAAGAAAATTTGTCAAGGACCAAAGGTAAGGCGTAGATTTTTTAAAGAAAATTTGTCAAGGACCAAAGGTAAGGCGTAAATTTTTTTAATGAAAATTTGTCAAGGGCTAAAGGTAAGACGTAGATTTTTTTAATGAAAATTTGTCAAGGGTCAAAGGTAAGGCGTAGATTTTTTAAAGAAAATTTGCCAAGGGCCAAAGGTAAGGCGTAGATTTTTTTTAAAGAAAATTTGTCAAGGGTCAAAGGTAAGGCGTAGATTTTTTAAAGAAAATTTGCCAAGAGCCAAAGGTAAGGCGTAGATTTTCTAAAGAAAATTTGCCAAGAGCCAAAGGTAAGGCGTAGATTTTCTAAAGAAAATTTGCCAAGAGCCAAAGGTAAGGCGTAGATTTTCTAAAGAAAATTTGCCAAGAGCCAAAGGTAAGGCGTAGATTTTCTAAAGAAAATTTGCCAAGAGCCAAAGGTAAGGCGTAGATTTTCTAAAGAAAATTTGCCAAGAGCCAAAGGTAAGGCGTAGATTTTCTAAAGAAAATTTGCCAAGGAACAACAACATTTTTCAAGTCGCCATAGGGCTTGGATTTTTTTAAGAACATTTTTCATCGGGACTATTTAAATATTAAAAAAATATTTGCCATTGGGCGCTATTTAACTGATATTCTGTGAATATATTCATATATTAAAAACATATTTGTCATTGGGCGCCATTAAATGTTTTTCTGCGGGACGATTCATACCTTAAAAATATTTGCCATTGGACGCCATTTAAATGACTATTCAAACATTAAAAAAAATGTTTGACATTGGGAGCCATTTGAATGCTAACCTGTCCTTCTCCATTTATATAACGATCTTCGGGACTATTTAAACCTTTAAAAATTTAAATAATAATCTGGTCTGGTAATCTTTTTTACGTTGAATGATATAGAACCATTGAAATGAAAAGGCAATATTTTACATTGGGCGCCATGTTTTTTATAAAGAAATATTTTTATCTTGGACCTCATTTTAAAGCTGAGATACAGTCTACAGATCTCTGTGCAATAGTTTTCAAAAAAAATAGAAATCCTTTGACAAATGATATTCTAGAAGTTATAAAAAATATAATTATGTGTGTTCTGCCTAGTCAGAATAAATTTATAGAATTTAAGGACCATCATATACTTTTATACGTTGGGCGCCATTCCATCTTAAAAATTTACCACCTCATAAATAGTCTATAAATGAAATCATGTAAACGTCCCTGTCTCCATTATTCTGGGAGATTTTTGAATCATAAATAAGTATATCTCCTCAGAAATATAACCGAGATCTTCCAATTATGTTGTTTTGTTGGGCGCCATTTATGTTATACTCTTGTTTGACTCTAAGAAAAAAGTCAGTCGATTTGTTACAAATATTTGCAGTGAATAAACTATGGATAGCATTAAACTAAAATTGATATCCAGCGTACTGTGTGAACGACTGAAAAAAATGGTCAACGACATTATTGGACCATACCTATGCGGCTTCAGGTATGTCAAATCAACCATTGACCAGATTTTCACTCTGCACCAGATGCTGTAAAAGACCTAAACACATCGACACATTTCACCTATTCGTCGACTATAAAGCCGCATTCGACAGCCCTATCCGTTCAGAGGTGTTTAAAGCCATGCGTTTGACATTACTGCAAAATTAATACGGCTATGCAGGATAACTTTAACTGGCACAAGGTCAGTAGTTAAAGTCTGAAAGTAACCCTCGGAGCCCTTTAATACTGGACGAGGATTCAGACAAGGTGACAGTTTGTCGTGTGATCTTTTTAACATCCTGGTGAACAGAAACAACACATGTTACTCGCCTACGCCGATGACATCGATATAATGGGTCGAACATTGCGAGGGATAGCAGCAACCTTTGAACAAATTGAGCAGGAGTCTGCCAAAGTGGGACTGGCGAAAAGACAAAGCTGATGGTATCAACGCGCAAGACGTCCAGTAAATTCAGACCAATAGTGGAACTTGAAAACTACAGCTTCGAGGTAGTGAACGATTTTCTATACCTTGGTACCGCAATAATTAAAACTAAAAACATCAGCTTTGAAATCCGGAGGAGAATAGTGTTGGCCAACAGAAGCTACTATGGTCTGAATAAGTAACTGAAAAGCAAGGCCACCTCTCGCCTGACCAAAAGCACACTCTACAAGATTCTGATACTACCCGTGCTGATGTATAAATCAGAAGCATGTGTGCTTACACATGCCGACCTACGTCCTTTTATTCATGGACATGGAGGTAGTCAAACGTATTGAGCTTCAGCGACTATTTTGACTAGGTCATGTTGTGAGAGTGGATGAAGATGCCCCAGCTCAAAAGGCATAAAAAAGCGATGGTTCCCGCAGAAGGCGAAGGCCACAAATCCGATGGAAAGATCAAGTAGAAGACAACATCTCACAACATGGTCTTTCAAATTGGAAATAAAACCTGGAAATCTTTTTTATGCTCGGCTTATGGAACAAATGTTCTGTCACAAGCCAGTTAAGTATGTAAGCTATTTTTAGATGATGCAATGGGTCAAGGTTTAAACAGACTTTGGAATGTGGATAATAAATTGTGGGATCCACGAAAGAACATATTATACAAAATACATTTTTGGGCGCCATTTAAATTGGTAAACAGTTCTGCCTCCTGAGAAATTGAAACAATTAAATTTGTCACAAATATTTTCAAGGTAAACTATGTTCATGTTGGGCGCCATTTGCGTGTTTATAAACTATGGCTCCCAACAAATAGTAGTTGAACTTCCCAAAGGATTAAATATACATAATATGGAAGCTAATTAAATATATTATGGGGCCGATAAAGGAATAACTGCCATTATATGATGCTGCTTAAAAAACACAAATATTTTTGGTAAAAATCTACTATTATGTTGGGCGCCATTTGTGTGTTGATATACTCCCAACAAATGGTATTTGGATCTACCAAAGGATTAAATATACTATGAAGGTTAATAAATATATTTTAGAACTCATGAAAGAATGCAAAAAAAAATTACGTCGGACTCCATTTAAAATATCCCAATCGTAAGCCGGTTTATTCTGATCTGCTCTCACTCCATTAAAGGCAAAGTATAAAATAATGTAGGGCATTTATATACCGTTACAATTTTGTTTTGCGTTGGGCGCCATTGATCCATTGGAAATATTTATACATTATTATGAATTACTGTAATGATAAAATTTCATTGAGTGTCATTATAAAGGAACCATTTGCCAAATAAACTTGCCTAACAAATTAAGAAATCTCCAGCTCTCCTCAAACTTCAAACCTTTCTAAAAATTCCATCCTTATTTTTCTACTTCTGAAATGAAATCTCATGTACAAGACCAACACGAGAGCTGGATTTTTTTCAAGAACAATAAGTCTGGATTTTGTTCAAACTTCAAAACAAATCACGCAATTTTTAAAGTGGACTTTAACTTTGTCAGGATTTTTTCAAGGCCATCAGAGCTTTGATTTTTAAAAGAAGAGTATTTCTAGGACCGTTTTGTGGATTTTTTAAATAATATTTTTTCTAGGACCAACACGAGTTGCGACATTTTAAAGGATATTTTTCAACAACAATAAGTGTATTTTTTAAAAACTACTGTTCAGCAACCATAGTTTGGGGATTTTCCTACAAAGTATTTTTTCAATTACCATTAAACTCATATCCTGATTTTTTAATACATATTTTTTTCAATGACCATTAGTGTGTGAATTTTTCAAAATATTTTTCAAGGCCCCTAAAAGCCACTTGTTGAAAGTGGTCTACTTTCTACGTATTTTATGTGTGCGTGTTTATGTAAATTGTATTTCCCTGCTATAAAATTCCAGCTAAATGTCCTTTAAATGATTTGTTTGTACTTTGTAAATGCGTGTGCATGATACATCCATCTGCAACATGCATGCATGCTTCTAAACCACTTTTGTTGTTTTGTTTTTTTTTTTGAAAAGTCCTAGTAAGTAAGATGACCTCATAAGTTTCGGAGGAAAAAACTGTTATTGTTTTCACTGCACTAAGGTCAGAAAATTACAATTATGTCGTTGTGTTTTATAAATGAAACAAATATTTTATGGATTATATTCTATGTATATTATATGAAATTTAAAATTTGTTAAATAAATAATAGTATAATAATAGTATAAAAAT